TTAGAGGTATACCTTATGAATCCAAATCGAATTTAGATTAGTCTCTAAAGTTAGAGGTGTACCTTATTAATTCATACCAAATTTAGATTAGTATCTAGGATTAGAGGTATACTTTGTGGATCTAAATTGAATCTAGATTACTCTCATAGTAGTAATTATACTCAATGTTGTATTAAAAAAAAATTGCATCCAAAAAGTTATAAAGGCTTTTGTGATGCTTATGATAATATATATACAACTATACTAGTGATGAAAATCAAATACAAATTTATATTAAAATATAATGTAATTCTCCATATTAAATTATATTTGATAGTTGGATTTAGTAATAGTGTATTAAAGAACATTCATTTTCCAGTTACACAGTTAGTGTCACAAGATGGACTTCATATAGAGTACATTTTTAAGTAGTAAATCGATCAAATAATAAATTATGAATCTAAGCTAGAGACAATATATATTATTGTTCAGCTAGCCTTTCCCTCTTGGAAAGCTATTAGGCACACAAGTATTGGAACTTTTCATTTTTTGAGTACTATTTACTCTATTACAATATAGTATCTGATAGTTATATATATATATATATATATATATATATATATATATATATATATTTGTATCTATTACAGCCTAAAGAGTCAATACCTTACAATCAGGTTCGATTCTGTGACTTTCCCTCAATGAGAGTCACAGAGGTGTTATCTGAGCACAAGTTGCTTGGAAAGTGGAGTTTTTAACAATATTTCTTTGGATCCATATATGCTCCCAGGAATAGATAATTAATTGTATTTTTTAATTTTATTTTTTTAGTGACGGAAATTTGTACTAAACTTAATATTTAATAAGACTAAGAAATGATAAGAAAATTAATTATACTAAAAAAATTAAAATTGAATGTAGACAATATGAAATAAATAGTGATTTTATTTCTTTGATATAGTGAGGTCAACTCGATCTGTCTGAATACAAGGAAATAATGTTCGAAAGCAGTGAACGTAGCAAGGAACACGAGCTGAGGTTGCACAAAACGACATATTTGACATTGGATCTTTAATTTGGTCATTTGAAATATACTAAGATAAGATTAGTACGTACTTAAATTTTTGGTCCCCTTTCAGCCCTTATTCGCCCATTAGTTTCTTGGGAAAACGTATAGCGACTTCTTTTTAGGGGGTGGGGAAGGCTTCTTAAAATGATTTTTTTTTTTTTTTTTTTTTTTGTTTAAATGATTTATTATTGTTATGAATGAGAGTGAATTGAAACATCGAAACCCGTGACTTTAACTAACACATTGTAGTGTAAATAGAAAATTAAAAGGTTTGATGGTTTTTATATAGGGATAAAGTACAAATAAGCCACTGAACTATTTGAGAAAGAATAATTAAGCCATCGAACTCAAATAACCCCCAAATAAGTCACTGAATCTGGGAAAAAAAAGCAATTGACATTTTTAACAGGTTACCTTTTCACTTTTGCTGATTGAGTTGCCACATATTTATTTTATTTTATTTTTCATTATTATATTATATTATAATCTACCTAGATTAATTTTAAGCAAATTTTCAAATTAAACATCCAAACCTAAACTCTCTCCCTAATCGCAACTTTTGATCTTTGGTGAAGTGAGTGTAAGCAAGTGGATCCAGGAACTCACTAAAGGTATTTTTATAGAATTCTTGGTATTGTTCTTTCTCAACATCCTTTGGATTACGCATCTGAAATTTGAAATACATATGAACATATCAATCAATCCCATGAACCCAAAAAAAAAATAAATAAATAAAAAACCAATTTTTATGACAATCATTAGCATTAGCATACAAACAGAATATTCTAATCTGATTTAGCAAATATTCATAGCAGAAACAATTATCCAGATAAAAAATGCTCAAAATTCCAGCAAAACAAAAAAAAAAAAAAACTAAATCGACAAATACGAATTTGAACTAACCTTGAAAATACCGAAGCGAGCTAACGAAAGCTTTGAAGTTACGGAGAATTGAGGTTTTGAAACTAAGTAATAATATAATTAATCCCTGTAGATTATAATATAATAATGAAAAATAAAATAAAATAAATATGTGGTAACCCAGTCAGCAAAAGTGGGAAGGTAATCTGTTAAAAATGTCAATTACTTTTTTTTCCCGGGTTCAGTGGCTTATTTGAGGTCGATGGCTTAATTGCTCTTTCCCAAATAGTTCAGTGGCTTATTTGTACTTTATTCCTTTTATATAAGATTCTGGATTCAGATGTTATGCATGAATGCAGTTGTTGCTATTTGGATAATTTTTTTCTATAAGATAGGACTGAAACTCGATTTTATTATTAAAAAAAAAAAGAGAGAATTACATTTTTTTTTTAAATTATTGATTATTGTGATATTGTTTAATCTTATTTTTATAATTTTGTCACATTATATTTTTTACTTTCATTTATTTGTCATAATTAACAATTTATCAATTTAAATTTATGTTATTTCATTATATTATTGTTAATGAAAATGATTACCATATAATTTTATTATCTAATTCAAAGAGTTTATCATAGAGGGGGGAGGGGGCACAATTCCTTGCAAATTGGTCCGACAGTTGGTTTCTTATATCTTTATTTACCCTATCCAAACGCCCCCAAACACCACAGAATTATGGAGGGGTAGACCATGATGATTCAACTTATCAATAGAGGATAAATTTTTTATTACTATGCACAATGGGCCCCCCTCATTTTGACAGATTGCTCTTACACTACCGTTGGTGAGACTTGATATTTGGTCTCTTGTAACAAATTTCACCTCTGTGACAAGCACCATTGAGCCATGTTCAGAGTTAAATTTTTATAAATAAATTATATGTAATGAGTCCAATGTTGCAAACACGCTAGACGCTTAATTACAAAAAAATAAAAAATAAAAAAAAATTGAGCAAAAATAAAAAATACAGCAACAGGAGGCTAGCACTCCCAGCAACATAAGCATTACACAATAATATTTCGCTTCAATAACATGTACACAATAATCAATACATTTCAAGCAAAAAACTAATAAGCAATAAGATAATAATGTCCACAGCGAGACCCAATGACAAGAGAGTGGTGACAATTGGACGATGGATGACGGACGACGAACTATCGAAAGGGGTGAGCTGTTGTGCGTTCTTGACTTCTTGTTTCGCTGCTGTCAGTGTTGTGCGTTCTTGTTTTTATTATTATTATTATTATTATTATTATTATTATTATTATTATTATTATTATTATTATTATTATTAATTTCTAAAAAAAATGTTCTAATGGTGCTCGTTGATTTTATTTAAAATTGAAAATTTATTTGTTTTTTTTTTCTGCTCAAAATGACATCGTTTTGAGCAGACAAATCAAATTTAAAAAAAAAAAAAATCGTTTCTGGTTAGGTTGCAGAGAGTGGTTTGATACCCCTCCTCATTTCCTCGTTGATTGTATTTCTGATAATTTAATGAATTAATCGTTTTCTTTCAAAAAAAAAAAAAAAAAAAAAACCAGCTGACTCGCCCAAGTTTGTTGAGTCCAATCATTGTTATGTGGATCATGGTTCACACAAGATGACTGGACCATGTTTTGTGTACTATAAAATAATATACATTTAGTTTAAAAATAATGTACTTTTAGCATATTAAAATGTACTTTGTATTCAGAAAAAGTATATTATTTGAATACTAAAAGTACATTATTTTATATAATGTACATTCAGTACACAAATAATGTACTTTTAATATATTTAAAATGTACTTTTTTTATGGTCCATACATCACTATGTGAATCATGGTCTACACAATAATTTGCCGGTTGGAGTCGGTTGCCTAGACTTTGCAAAACATCCTTTTTGCCTTGGCTAGGCGGAGTTTCGCAACACAAAATGAGTCACACCATGCATAAGGGCATCCCCAAAAGGAGATTTTGGAGGGATTTTGGCACAATATTTTAGGAAGGAAGAGTGAGTTGGAAGAGAGAATGAGGAGAGATGTGATTTGTTTTGCTCCTGCAAGCGGCAATTTATATCCTACACCACCGCGCGTTGCACTATGCGCCCAGATGCAAAACGATGTCGTTTTAATTATTTTTTTTTTGAAATTTCCCGCCCCAGTGGATGACAGTAGTTTTTTCTTTAAAGAAAAACTCGCTGTTCAAGAATGTACATAATGTTATACTAGAATACACATAATGTTATACATGAATGTACATAATTATATAACAAAATATACATACTCTTTTAAAAGATAATACACATAATCTAACATAATACATAATAAACATAAACTTTTAACATAATACACATCAACTCTTAACATAATACACACAAATTTTCTGATTCGGATGTACATAATTGTATAAAAAGAATGTACATAATTGTATAAAAAATACACATAACTGTATGAACCAATACACATAACGTTGTGAACAAATACACATAATCTCAGCAACTTCCTACCGCGCCTCCCAACACTATCCCAAAACGACGTCGTTTTGGGAGGCGCGCGGCGCACAGTGCTATGTGCGCTGTGGTGTAGGATATAACGATTGCCTGCAAGCACCCCAAAATAAGCCGAATGTGGGTCCCACCATTTGAATGGAGAGTTGCGCCTCACGCGCGCCCAGCCTGGTCGCGTGAATCAATTTAATTTTTTTTTCAACTTTTGATTTTATTTTATTTTTTTTCCTCCATCCCATTTTCTCTTTCCTAATTACACTTACAAAAACTTCTCAAAATTCATACTAAAATTTCCACTATTAAGGATTACCTAAGGATCAATGACTGTTTTTTTTTTCTTTTTTTTTTTAATGCTTTCCATGGTAAATGCTTTACAATTTAATTTGTGAAAAAAAAATAAAAATAAAAATAAAAACAATAAAGCAAACAAAGAAAAAAGTGGAGTAATACACAGTATTGCTTACGTAATATGTTTCTTTGTGATGTAACATTACGCTATTATATTGCCTCCTTTTCCGCACTCTTCTCGTCTTTTTAAATAACTCTCTTCGCTTCTCTCTCTCTTCCACGTTAACCCTTCCACTCCCTCCAAATCTTACAGTTTCACTCTCTGCGTCGCCGCCGCCGTATATATATATATATATATATATATATATATATATATATATATATATATACACATACATACACACTGGCTATGCAAGGCGTCCGCCTCTACGGACCGTTATCGGACGGAGGAGTGAGGCTAGAGCTGAGTCCGACGGCCACGGCGTCTCCGCTCACCATCGACGTCGCCGAGACGGCGGAGGTGAAAATCCAGCGCCTGATTTCGGAGAATCCGGTGGTGATCTTCAGCCGCGCCGCCTGCTGCATGTGCCACGTCATGAAGCGCCTCCTGTCCACCATCGGCGTCACGCCGACGGTCATCGAATTGGAAGAGGATGAGATCGGCGCCCTGCCGAGCTCCCCCGCCGCCGCCGCTGCCGAGGAGGACGGCGGTGGTGCCGGTGCCCCCGCGGTGTTCATAGGCGGGACACGTGTCGGGGGGATAGAGAGCCTCGTGGCGCTCCACGTGAGCGGTCGCCTTGTTCCAAAGCTGGAGGAAGTTGGGGCTATCACCAATATGGTATTGTAATTTCCGTACTCCATCAGGGACACGTTTGTAATTTCACCCTAGCCCCAAAACAATTACATAATTATAGTTATAACTTATAATTACTATATTAGGAGAAGATTACCCCGTAAGTCTCAAATGTTGATTTGGGTATTTAGGTCTATCTCGTTAATTAATTTCAATTCCCTATATTTTAGAACAAAAAAAAAAAAAAATTGTATATTAGGTGGCAATGTTACAAGGGCAAATAAGTAACTTACACGTGTCTTAGAACTTGTGGTCTTAAAATGTTATTATTATTATTATTATTATTATTATTATTATTATTATTATTATTATTATTATTATTATTATTATGCATTAATTGTTAGAATGTGGTTTTGCTTTTTCTTTGACTATAAAATATTTGGGGCTATGCTTTGTCTCTCCATGTTTGTAATGGTTGGAATTATGGGAATGGAGCTTAAAGACTTTTGTGTGTGTGAATACACAAAACTATAGATATATGCATGTGTATGTATATATTTATATATTTGTTGTCAATTCAATTATCACTTTGAATATCCTAGTTGTTGTAAAAGAATATTCTTGTGCTTTTATATTGAAGTATTCTTACGTATACTTGAATTTACATGGTCAAATAAATGTTATAACTTTTTATGTAAATCTGTATAGTTATTACTGAATTAGTCAATTTTCGCTCACTTTAAATTATAAAAATTACTTTTGATATGTTTTTTTTTTTTTTTTTTTTTTGTGAGCAAGTAACATTACAATGTTACATGTAGTTATTATCATACTCGCTTTAAGTGAGTATTGATGGAACCTGCAATATGCTTACTCCCTAGTGAGTCACCCATTAACTATCCTGGTTGTAAGTCAAGCACACTTAACTACAAAGTTACTTGGCTATTTGATTGTCATATCTAACTTAAAATTAATTGTTGATAAGAAGGTGGACATTAACCATTTAACCACACCCTTTCATAGTAAGTCACATTACCACGTCTCAAATCGAGTATGGGCTGAACTCGGTCAACCGACGATGCACAACGTACTATAAAATATAATGATACAACTTTAATTTTGGGATCACATTTCTCTTGACACAACCTTAATTTCTTTCCTTCTTCTTTTGAGGATATTTTTGGCAAATAATATGGAATCATGCCATAAGGATACTATATAGTATATATATATATACTATAATGTGTAATAATTTTTTTTTAAACAATCTTTTTAGTTTAAAAATATGTTAAAATTTAATAAAACATATTGCATATTTCACTGGTACCCCAACATCACAGGATAAGACTAATCTAATTGAGTTTCGGTTAAATTCCATTTTATTTTATTTTATTTATTTACTATGTGATTGTTGAATTAACATGTCTTTCTTTGTTTATTTTATTTTTAAAATTTTTCAAAATAAAAAAAAAATTATAAATAATTTAAATTAACTATCAATAACTTTATTTCAACACTGTTTTTCCGAGCTAGTTTAGTAGGAGGACCGTGGATATAGTTACACCTTTTTCATTTCAATAATATTCCATTTCGTACGTGTGGCTTAGGATGAGAATTGAGAGAATAGAAATTTAAAAATAAATAAATAAATAAAACGTATAAATTTTTACTGAAGTTTAAACCTATCACTTCCAACTTAAGAGAGCAGTAAACCACAAGTCACTTGGTAAATAAAACGTATAAATTGATAAAGAATATATCTCTCCGTATTGCATATTAGAAATCGATACCCACAAAATGAAAAATAGAAACAATTAAAAAACAATTTATTTACATTAGTAATTAAATAATTTAAATTATTTGCGATATATTTACAATCACATGAACCACGTCACAATAATAATAATAATAATAATAATAATAATAATAATAATTATTATTATTATTATTATTATTATTATTGTTGTTATTGCTGTTGCTGCTGCCAAAATTTCCCATTTCGAAAAATATAAATCAATATACATGTTAATTGACCATTCCCACCCAAAATAAAATAAAATAAAATTGCTGATTAATTAAACATAAAAATAACTAATCAAATATTGTCATGTAAGAAAGTGAAATTAGGGAGTGGATGTTACTCTTTACAAAATTACTACGGATCCTTGTTATTTATACTAGTAATACGATTCCGCAATTGTAAATTTTTCTATATATATGACCGTATAAAGAGAATTGAAAGCATGGACCTGCATGGATAGTTAATTGGGAAAATTTTGTTGTGGATCATGAATAAAAGACACGGAGTACATTTTTAATATTTTAAAAGTAGTTTATTTATGTATTGAATACACATTATTTGATAGTATACAAAATATGTACCTTCAATACAAAAATAATGATACTTTTTATATTAGAAATATGCATTTTATTTATGATCCATAAAATAGTGATTGTCTAATTGGTTTCTGAGTGGTAAATTATAAGCAACGACAAGGATGTCAGGTCAAGCGTTGACAGGCACTGATATGATCCTCCTATCTAAGCCCTTCTACAATTTTATCAAATCAAAATATAGGAGTCCTTGCTGTTTTAATAAAAGTAGTAAAAAAACAAAGAAATATAAAAGTAGTAAAAAAACAAAGAAATTAAATGAAAATGAGCAAGGAAAATTAAATTGATTATTACGTTGTTGTAATTTAGCCTTCTTATTAGTCCAAGTCTCCTGTGATATTTGTATGGTAAAATGCTGATAGATTTGTGTGCAGGGTAATAAAATATAAAGAAATAGAGAAAAGAGAGAAACATAACAAATTAAAAGATGTATAACTCGAGAACTCAAGATTTTCATTTCATTAAGCCTTCAATATATATATATATATATATATATATATATATATATATATATATCCAAACAACTCTTCATTTTCTATAACATACATTTCATTAAGCCTTCAATATGAATATATATACATCCATACAACCCCTTCATTTTCTATAACATAAACAGAAAATACAGAATAAATGGAAAGAAACAGAAGAGTTAGGGATGACAATGGGGCGGGGAGTATACTCCCCGTCCCCGTCCCCATCCCCATTCCCAACGAGGAATTGAAAAAATTTTCTGTCCCCGTTTCTGTGAGAAATTTGGTAGTGACAAAGAATTCCCATACCTGATCAACCCATAATCAATGTGTGAAAGTAATACAATTTTTAAAAATAAAAAACAAAAAAAATTGAAATTCGTAAAGTACCAACCGTGTTTTACATTATAATTTTAAAATCTAATAAAATTAATTAACTAAATAACTAATAATCTAATTTCTAATTCCTAATATATATATATATATATATATATATATATATATATATATATATATATATATATATATATATACATATTTTTTTGTTATTTTTTTTAAATTTCCCCGTCCCCGTCCTTGGCGGGGAATTTAAAAAAATTCTCCATCCCCGTCTCCGATCCTCGAAAATTTTCTCCGTTCCCTATGGGTACAGGGATCTTCAACGGGGACAGGGTACATTGTCATCCCTAAGAAGAGTCTTATGATAATGGTCATTAATATATTATTTATAACACTCCTCTTGACCATTTTCTAACAATACTCATGTCTCGTTAAAACCTCGCTAGAAAAACCTAGTGGAAAAAATATAGTCAAGGAAAAAAGTACATGTAGTATGAAAATATGGGTTGCTACAACTGTCTCATTAAAATCTTAGTCTAAGAAAAACTCAGAAGATGTGACAAGTTTCTCAAGCTCTTACTTTTGACCAGTGACCAACTGAGTCATGATTAAGAACTCCTGTTTGTTCTTAGTCTTGGTTTTGATAATATGGAAACCATTTGATCAAATATCCGTGAAACCCAGCAAGGTTCATTTAGATTAGGGATACAACAAAGCATTTTCAGTTAGTAGCTTTGTACCCTTAGGGAGGATAATGGAAGCTCTCCCGGAGACCACTACGTGTACCTTATCATTTGTAATAGTAGTGATATTACTATTCGTTTTGTTCAAGGAACAGAAAAATCTCATATCCATAAGGAGAATGTGTGGTCGGACTATCCACCAAACACAATGTTGGTTTATGCTCCATTGTGCAGACAACAATAGATTTCGTGGTGTTGTAAGATTGTTCACCGGAGATATAAAACACTCGTGCTGATAACGTGTTGTAATTTAGCCTTCTTATTAGCTCAAGTCCCCCGTGGTAGTTGTACGATAAAATGTCGATAGACTTGTATGCAAGGTAATAAAATATACAAGGTAGAGAAAAGAGAGGAACGAACACAAGATGTAAAACTCAAGATCTCAAGATCTTCATTTAATGAGAATATATTTTCTGTATTTAATGAATAATGAATGAGAGTACAGGTAGCGAATATATACAGATGCTAGATAGAATCCTAGTCTAACACGAATAATATAGTCCTAGTCTAATATGAATAATAGAGTCCTAATACTCTCCCTCAAGCACAAGTTTGGTCAGCCAAAACATTGAGCTTGGAACGGAGTAAATTAAAGCGTACAGACGAAAGAGACTTAGTAAAAATATCTGCTATCTGATCTTTGGTAGAAATAAAATTGACTTGTAATTCCTTCTTTTCTACTTTATCACGAACAAAGTGGTAGTCGATCTCAATGTGTTTGGTGCGAGCATGAATCACCAGAGTAACACATAGATAAGTAGCACCCAGATTATCACACCAGAGTTTGGGCGCAGAAGGTGGCGCAAATCCGAGTTCCTTCATCAGAGAGACAAGCCAAGTAACCTCTACAGAAACATCAGCGAGTCCTTTGTATCCTGCCTCAGTTGAGGAACGAGCCACAATACGCTGCTTTCGACAAACCCATGAGACAAGATTGGTCCCCAAAAACACAGCAAAACCACTAGTAGATTTTCGATCATCAGGATTGCCAGCCCAATCCGAATCAGAATATGCACGAATATCCAGAGAGGAAGAAGGAGTAATTTTAAAACTGAGATGTAGTGTTCCATTTACATACCGTAACACTCTCTTGAGAGCCGCCCAATCCGCAGTAGAGGGAGAGTGCATGTGCTGACACAAACGATTGACTGCATAGGAGAGATCAGGACGAGTTATCGTAAGATATTGTAGAGCACCTGCAAAGCGGCGATACTGAGTGGGATCAGCATATGGCACCACGACACCGGTCTCGGCCTTTGCAGTTGAAACCGAGGTGGCCACAGGCTTGCAATCAACCATACCTGCTCGTTTAAAATATCCTTCATGTACTGTTGTTAAGCTTGCCACCAGACAACGGAATAGTCTCAATACCTAGAAAAACGAGGGCACTCCCATATTACGAACTTTAAATTCAAGAGCCAGCTTGCCAATAAGATCAGTCACAAGAGCCAAATCAGAACCCATGACTAAAATATCATCCACATAGACTAGAAAATATAGACGAGTATTTCCACGTGAATATATAAATAAAGAGACATCAGTTTTGGAAGGTGAGAAACCAACAGAAACCAGAAAATCATGCAAACGCGTGAACCAGGCGCGGGGAGCCTGTTTAAGCCCATACAAATAACGTTGAAGGAGACAAACGTGCCAGGGCATCGTTTTGTCTTCATAGCTAGGGCGCTGGCGCATATAAACCGTCT